ACGCTGCCCACAGCCACTGCAGCATGAGTTTGATCCGGAGCCAGGGAGCAACCTACATCGCACAGCAGACCTCTCCTGACTCGCCTGCTGTTCCCCTCAGCAATGTATTTCAGTCAGTCTGCCTGTTCTGTGCCGGGCTCTGTCTCTGGTGAATCCTCACACCCCCCACAACTCTGACCTGTACCCCAGTTCTTGTATGCATAAATAAATGAATCTTGAAAAAAAAAAAGAAGTGATTAAATACTCCCAGGTGTTCACATCCCAGTTCCTGCTAAAGGGAAGTGGAGGATAGGCCTCTGTAAGTGTTTTAGAAGAGGCTTGATGGAGATGTGTCAATTTGGCATGTGGATTATTTCAAACTAAGGTTAATAAAGACCCTGCAGGTTCTCATAGGAGAAACCTTTACCACTCCCTTAACTATCTTGAAAAATGAAAATTGAGACTATTACTCAGAATTAGGCTTTTTACCAGAAAGAACCAAGGCAGGGCAAACATCTAATTAAAAAATCTGGTCTTTGTCATATGAGTCACCCAGTCCTCATAATGTGAGTTCCCTTCCTCTCTCCTTGAAGGCCCTGGCCTCTATCTTATTCCTTAGCTAAGGACATAGACCCTCATTTGCCCCCACTGACCCTGGAATTCACATCCACTTAAATTCTCCATATGTGGTATGTGGGCCTCCCCAGTGGCTCAGCGGCTGAGTGCTGGGTTGCTAAGCTGCCCGCAGCCTCTGCAGCACCGGTTCGATTCCCGGCTGCAGGGCGAGGGTCCCACATGGCGCGCAGACCTCTCCTGCCGCCCGCTGCTCCCCTCAGCAGTGTACTTCGGTCTTTCTGCCTGCTCTGCTCTCTCCTCTGGCTCTGGTGAATTCTCTCACCCTCCCGCTTCTGACTGTACCCAGTACTTGTATAAATAAATAATAAATCTTTAAAAAAAAATTCTCCATATGTATGTAACTCAATTATTTTTTCCTACTGATGTATCTGACATTACTTTGTTGTTCAGTCAGTCTAAAAGAACCCAAAGGGGTAGGGAGAAACTTCCTCTCTTCCCCTACAGAAAGTTGTGATTCCTCTACCATGTAACATGAAACCTATAATGAACTAAATAACTAAAGCCACAAAACCTTACAGGCCTAGCTCCACTACTGACTAGATTGTCTCAAATCGTCTCACTAATGGTGAGCCAGATAACAAAAGTCTGCCCTTTCTCTAGAGATGATTGCTGTTTTCTTCAGACTCTACTATTTCTTTATAATTGATGATGTCTGAATTTAATCTTTATCAAAATCAAATTATAAAACACATAGAAAAAGTAAGAAAACTAATATGTCCTCAAAGAGAAAACAGTAAATGAAACCTTCCCTACAGAATAAAATTGTTGTTGGAATTATAAGGCAGACACTTTAAAATAATGCTTATAAATATTTAAGATGAAAGAAATAGAATAAGTGAACATGTTTGGACAATTTCAGAGTCAAATGCAAATGCTAGAAATGAAAGATATATTACAGATAAATAATACTGTCAATGAGTTTATTATGTTGTATACAGCAGAAGAAGGAATCAGTGTCATTGAAAACAGACAATGTGATTTTAAAACATATTTGCGTTCAGGATAAACATGCTAATAAATACATAACTTGATTTCCAGGAGAAATACTTTAATGGCCCAGAACATATGAAAGCCATTGACCCAAGATTCAATAGACTCAGAAACCTAAAGAAGAATAAATACAAAGAAATACCAAAATTATACATCACCGTCTAACTGCTTAAAATCAAACATGAAAAGAAAAATCTTAAAAACCACAAGAGAAAACAAAACACATTCCAGAAAGGAGAAAAACAATAGAAATTATATCTCCTCATTGGAATCAATAGAGACCAGAAGACACAGCCATGACAACTTTAAAGTGTTAAACAGAAAAACATATTAGTCTAGAATTCTAGAACTAGTTAAATTATCTTTCAAAAATAAAGATATTTCCCCAAGGAAAAGGTGAAAGAAATTGTCTTAAATAGACTTCGATAAGGAATACTAAAATGTATTAGTTCAAGGAATACTAAAGGAACACTAAAATGTTTAGTTCAAAAAGAAAAATACCAAGTAGAGACCCAGTTATTTGGGAAGGTGTGAAGAACACTGGAAAGAGAAAAGACATATCAGTAGATATAAGTAACAAACACATACACACACAAATACATACATTTTAAAGACTATTAATCTTGTAAAAACAGTAACAAGGTAATGTTATTTCTAAATAACCATATTTAGAAATAAAAAAATGTGTGGCAAGACAGAGCACAGGGGAAGAGAGAGTGATCATTAAAATATGCTATTTTAATATCATTACATTGTAAAGTAGCAGAATTTTGTTATTATATACATATGACAAGTTAGAGATATATAATGTAATCTTTACATCAACCACTAAGAACATAACATAAAATGATATAACTAAAGATAATACCTAACATAGAAAATGAAAATAAAAGTAAAGACCTAAAAATACTTAATTAACAATAAAAAGGGAGGAACAAAGAAAGAGCAAATGCAACAATAAAAATCTAATATCAGCATTGTAGTTTAAAATCCACATATACTAATAATAACTAATAATAACTAAAAAAAGAAATTAAAAGATGCAGACTCAGACTGGCTAAAGAATGCAACATCAAAGTAGATGTTTTGACAAGTAACACTCTTTAAACATAGCGACAACAGAAAAGGGGGCCTCCCTGGTGGCGCAGGGGTTAAATACACGCACTATCTAGCTCTCCCCAACCACTGCAGCATGAGTTCTACCCTCAGCCAGCCAGGGCGCAACCCACATGGCACAGCAGACCTCTCCTTGTCTTGCCCACTTCTCCCCTCAGCAGTATATTTCAGTAGATCTTCCTGTTCTGCTCCCCACTCTCTCTGGTGAATTCTCTCACCCTCCCCCACCCCCCGCACCTCTGGTCTACACCCCAGTTCTTGTGTGCATAAATAAATAAATCTTAAAAAAAAAGACAACAGGGTCTCCCCGGAGGCGCAGCGGTTGAACGCTGGGTTGCAAAGCTGCCCTCAGCCTCTGCAGTGCCGGTTCGATCTCTGGCTGCTCCCCGGCCACAGGAGGAGGGTCCCACATGGCGCGCAGACCTGTCCTGCTGCCCGCTGCTCCCCTCAGCAGTGTACTTTGGTCCTTCTGCCTGCTCTGCTCCCCGCTCTGGCTCTGGTGATTCTCTCACCCTCCTGCGCTTCTGACTGTACCCAGTGCTTGCATAAATAAATAAATAAACCTTTAAAAAAAAAAAAGACAACAGAAAAATTGAAAATGAAAGAATGGAAAATATATAGCATTGAAATACTAATCATAAAACATCTTCCATTACCATATTTTATAATAGAAGTAGACCTCAAAGAGTATTACCAAGATAGGCATTTCACAATGATAAAAGGGTTAAGTCATCAAGAAAACTTAAAAATTTTAAAGCTGTCATGTTATTAGCTCTGTTATGAACTAATAAAAAGTATAGACAGATCCAAATTATTGTTGCAGATTTTAGAACCTATATCTCAGCAATTGATAACAAGACAAAAATTTAACAGACATCGTAGATATAAATCAACTTAGTTGAAAGTTATAGAACACTACACCCAAGTACAGAAAAGAATTGTATAATCTTCTCATGTGCACTTGAAAAATTCACCAAAGTAGACTATACTCTGAGACATAAAACAAGTCTCAATAAATGTCAAAAGTCAAAATCATACAAACAAAGCATGTTCTTAGGCTGTAACAGTATTAGATTAGAAATCATTAACAAAATATTACAATAGAATTTTTTGTAATGATGAAAAGGTTCTATATCTGTACCACCCAAATACGGTACCCATTATCCATATATGACTTTTAAGCAATTAAAATTTGGCTAGAATGCCTTAGCCACTGAATTTTTTTTTTTCCTAAAAGACACTTCAGTCTTTTTTTTTTTTATATAATTGCTCTTTTTTTGTTGTTGTTTTAAAGATTTATTTATTTATTTATACAAGCACTGGGTACAGTCAGAAGTGTGGGAGGGTGAGAGAATTCACCAGAGCCAGAGCGGGGAGCAGAGCAGGCAGAAGGACCGAAGTACACTGCTGAGGGGAGCAGCGGGCAGCAGGAGGGGTCTGCGCGCCATGTGGGACCCTCCTCCTGTGGCCGGGAAGTAGCTGGGGATCTAAAGGGCGCTGCAGAGGGCAACTCAGAGCTCAACCACTGCGCCACCGGGGAGGCCTTGAATTTTAATTTAAATTCATTTAAATAAATTAAATATCCACAATTGACCAATGAATATCATATTGGACAGTTCAAATCCATTAAATCTCCAAATATTCAGAAATTTAAAAGACACATTTTTAATACACTTAATACACAAAACCACATTTTCTTGGGTCAAACAAATCACAAGCAAAACTAGAAAATATTTTGAACAAACTCATAATAAAACACACGATGTCAAATTTCATGGAATACACATAAAGCAGTTCTCAGACGGTACTTCATAATTTGAAGACTTGTAGATATTACCTAACTTCTCTGAACCTCCATTCTGATTTCTTAATGGGGAAAATAATGCTACTTACCTAGATACTTTTGTAGGAATTAGATGATTATAAGTGCTATTACTTTAAGACATACCTAATAAAGATAAGATAGCCAAAAAAGCATATTTAGGAACAAAGTATCACCCATGTTTGAATTATTATCTCGCCATTACCTAGTTGGGTGACGTGGATACTTTGCATAAGGTCACTTGACCTCCGTTTAAAAAAAAGATAAAACAAAAGCAAGGTAATTTTAAACTTATTTTCAAACTCTAATTTTTAAGAACTATGAAAGTGTGACATTTCCTTTGTAATGTCTACATGACTACAAAGTGCACTGCATTATCATCACCAGGATTCCCTTCTTTCCTGTGGGATCAGGAAGGAGAATGGTGGAACCATCTCCTGACAAACACTGCACTCACCTCTTCACACGCATCATTCCATTTCTTCCTCACACTCCTCCTGGGGGGCTGGTATTTTAAGAAAAGTGTTACTAAAGAATCTGAGGTTCAGAGAAATAAAATGATTTGCCTAAGTCTGCACAGTTACGCAAGAAGGGACAGTTCTCAAATTTACCACCCCCAACTTCATATTCACCCTCGAAAGTGACCTCGAGGACCCGCCAAGCTCACCAGGGAGCAGGACCCAGGGAGTCTCTGCACCAGAAGTGGACACGCCCGTCCAGTCACCCGCATCCCCGCGGGGAGTGTCCGGGCCTCGCGCGTCCCCGTCTGTCTCGGGCCCAGGCCCGGGGACTCGCGCTGGGCGGGGCGGGGACGCGAGAACCACGAGGAGCCGCGACCCGCCGCCGGGTGACCGCGAAGACGGTCACGAGCACCAGCGCGGGCGCGTCACACAGAGACGGGAACAGGGGTTTTCTCTGAGAGAACGTGTGATGTCCCCCAAGGACACCTTCTGTTGGGGCAAATGTTTTCTTTCTAAAGATTTATTTATTTACACACGCAAGAACTGGGCAACCCGCCGCCCCGGGGAGGTTCATTACCGGCTCCAGCAGCCCCGGTGGTGTCGTCACGCTCTCCGCGCTCAGTCGTCGCCGCGCTCCGCCCGCTCGGCCACTCCAGCCCCTCCTCCGGCCTCGGCACCGCACCACACTGCGCTGCGCTGCGCCATGCCACGCACGCCACGCACGCCACGCCACGCACGCCACGTCACACGGTGCGCCAAGCCGTTTGGCCGAGTGCGCATGCACAGTGGGAAGGCAGAAAAACCTGAAGCTTACCCCCCTACTTACCCCCGCACCCCTTCAGATGCATGTTGTCATTCCACACCAACCACCAAAGCACCCACAACCCTCCACCTGTCCATTGTGGTTCCCCCCTCTTTCTCCCCCAACACCCCCTCTGGTAACCTCAATTCTATAGTAGGATTTCTAGGGTTTGATTTAACTGTGTCTGTTCCTTTGTTTTGATGTTCCGTATATGAGTATAATCATCCAGTATTTGTCTTTCTCCAACTTACTTCACTTAGTGTAATCCCCTCCAGATCCATCAGTTCCCTCCATGTTGTTGCAAATGGCATAACTTCATTTTGTTGTGGTAGTTGAATAGTATTTCATTGTGTTAATTTACCATAAATTCTTTATTCACCCATCAATCCTCGGGAACTCAGACTACTTCCACAACTCAGCTATTATAAATAGTGCTGCAATTAGCATAGGAATTCATCTATCTCTTTAAGTTAGTGCTTTTGCATTTTGGGAAATAGATATTTAGGAATGGAATTGCCAGACCATATGGAAGATATATTTTATTTTTTTGAGAAACCTCCATACTGTTCCCATAAAGGCTGAACCAGTGTGCAGTCCCACCAACAGTATATGAGGGTTTCTTTTTCTCCTCATCAATATTGTTGTTTCTGATATTTTTGTTATGGGCCATTCTCACAGGTGTGAGGTGGGTGATATCTTGCCAAAGCAATCCAAACCAAAAAGAACAGAAGAATTACACTACTAGACTTCAGACTATACCACAAAGCTATAGTATTAAAAATAGTATGGTAATTGAATAAAACAGACAAGTAGACCACTGGAATACAATTAAACACCCAGAAATAAACCCATGCTTATATAGACAAGTAATCTTTGACAAAAGAGCCAAGAGTATACATTGGGAAAAGAAAAGTCCCTTCAATAAATGACACTGGGAAAAGTGGACATCCAAATGCAGAAAAATTAAACTAGACCACTGTTTCACACCATACACCAAAATAAACTCAAAATATATTAAAGACATGAATGTAAGACCTTAAGTCATAAAGTACATAGAAGAAAAACATAGACAAAACACTCCACAACATTGGCTTCAAAGATGTTTTGGGGGACTTGACTTCAAAGGCAAGGTAAACAAAAACAAAATAAACAAATGGCTTTATATCAAACTAAAAGCTTCTGCACAGTGAAATAAATATCATTAAAATAAACTATCATTAAAATAAAAGGTATCTACTGAGAGGGAGAAACTATTTGTACATCATACATTCTACAAAAGATTGATTACCAAAATCTACACAAACTCTACAGAGAACTCATACAACTTAACAAAAAAAAAAAAGCAAATAATCTAATCAAAAAATGAGCAGAAGAACAAAATAGACACTTCTCCAATTAAGACATACAGATGGCTAACAGACACAGAGGAAAAATGTGGAGGAGTGAGGGTGCCTAGTGGTGGGTGTGGTGTGGTAAATATACCTAAAGAGGTGTAAACCTATACCTCTGAATCATAGACAGTGTTGTGAGCCAATGTTATTTCAGTGGAAAACTAAACATTGGTTTTTGTTCCCATTCAGTGAAAATACAAAAATGATAGCAGAAGAAGACATCAAAGGAAAAGAATATTCATTGTCACTTATCATCAGGAAAATGCAAATCAAAACTGTAATAAAAAGTTCTTGGAATTATCATTGGATTACAATACCATATAGATTTTTTGAACAATTTTCCACACCTTGATATGAAGATGCCTCACCATACCCACTAACAAAGTTCTAGAGCAAGTCTAAATAATTTGAGTCTATAAATATTTCTAAAACATTTTTAAGAGACTATTTTCTCAGTACCTTCTATTGTATACTTAAAAAAAGGAATTTTTATGAAATAAATTTAAGACAAAACAGTGCTACCTTGCCTAACAAAAGTAGTTATCTTGTGTTCATTTGATTACTTTCTAAATAGTGACCACTTTGGCAACAGCAATAGTCATCTGCTCGAGAACAAATATTATCCACATGTATGAGCATGAATCTCAAACACATATTGCAGCATATCTCTGATGACTCACTTCATTTGTGTTTCACAAACATCTTAAAATGCTTCTGAGGTCATTAGCTTCTGGGTGAAGTCAAACTACATGGACAGTTCATTTACTGCATCCAGCTGTAAGGCAACAAACTGAATTTCAGCTATGAGATCTTTCAGTACAAGGAGTACGATGTTTTTTATGAGATTCTATTTCTACTTTAATTAACTCATGTGAAGAAAAGTTGATTAATTATTACCAGTCTGTAGGAGTTGGAAATAGACTTAATATTACGTTGACACTAAAGTATAATTAAGGAATATTTTCCCTTTAGCAGATATTATAAATACTAGCATTTGTCCTAAGCATTAATTTTGAAAAAAATTTACAAATTGCAATAACATTTCCTTTTTGTATAGGAGTGAATAAATGATTTAACTTAATTTCACTTTGACTTGGATTTCAAATCCTTCTTACGTGCTTTCATTAAATGACTTAATTTTATCCAAATGAGAACTAGTTCTTCTAACTCCATCTTTGTATCCCTCATAAGCATGTGTTCTTTTGTTAGGCCTACTTAGCCACCTGGTCCTGAATATTTAACTGGAAAAGAATCTCCAGCATTTGTCATTAACTGTTAGTCTCTCTGCATCTGGTTTAGCTATGATCTTTGTATATTTATGTATAGTCTTTTAAGCAGACATTTTAAAAAGAAAAAAAAAAAAGTAGGACAAACTAGGAAAAAAGAATGAGGGAAATTAAGCAAAAATCTTGTACTGTAGCAGAATTTTTATAGTGTCTGGTAAAAAAAAGGGTTTCAAATTAAATTGATAATTACAGAGTTTCTCTAAACTAAAATATATTTTGAATGTTTCTATAACTTTTTGAGGGAACATTGATTTACAACACTGTATATAATTTAGGGATATAGGTTCATGCCTCAAAAGCTTTATGTTTCCTCACCATGCCTACCACACATGTATACCCAGAATCCTCTCCATAGACCACTGAGCCTCCTTCCCACTCATCCCCTCTCTAGCCTCTATTCTGCAGCCATATTTCTAGAGTTTGTTTTTATTAGTTTTGTCTGTTCCTTTTGTTTATTTCTCTGTATTTCATATATGAATCAAATCATCCAGTATTTGTCTTTCTTCTTCTCAGTTCCTTAGCATAATCCCCTCCAGTTCTATGCATGTTGTTCTGGCAAATTTTCATGTTTTTAAACTGAATAATATTCACTGTACATATATGCCACAATTTCTTTACCCACTCATCTATCCTTGGGCACTGAGGTTATTTCTATAACCAATGCAAATAGTGCTGTAGCAAACATAGGAGTGCAAATATCCCTTTGAATTAGTCTTTTTGTAATTCTTCTAGGGCATACCTAAGTAACTTCAGATAGATACCTAGGAATGCTGGATCAACCATCAGATCTGTTTTTAATATTTTGAGCAAACTCCATACTGTTTTCTCTAAGGGCTAGCCCTGTCTGCATCCCACCAATATCCTCCCCAACACTTGTTCTGGTCTTATCAATATGGGTCATTCTCACAATGTAAGGTGGTAACCCATTGTGGTTTTGATTCACATATGATGAAAAGTGATGATGAACATTTTTTCATGTTCCTTCTGGTCATCTATATGTTTTCTATGGAGAAGTGTTGATTTTATTGGATAATTTTTGTTGTTGAATTTTGTAGATCTTTTATATTAGTCCCCTGTAAGATATATGATATACAAATATTTTCTTCCACTCAGTGGGGCATCTTTTTGTTTTAATGATAGTTTATTTCACTGTGCAAAAACTTTTCAGTTGGGTGTCATCCCATTTGTTTATTTTTGCTTCTGGTTACCTTGCCGTTGGAGTCAATTCCCCAAATACATCCCTGAAGTCAATGTGGTAGAGTGTTCTGCTTATGTTTTCTTCTATGTATTTTTTACGATTTCAGATCTTACATCCACATCTCTATTCCATTTTGAGTTAACTTTTGTATGTGGTATGAGACAGTGGTCTAGTTTCATTTTTCTGCACGTGACTGTCCAGTTTTCCTAGTACCATTTGTTGAAAAAATTTTCCTTTCTCTAATGTATACTTTTGGCTCCTTTGTCATAGATTAATTGTCCATATAAGTATGGGTTTATTTCTGTAGTCTCTAAACAATGTATGTTAGAATTCAGTGTGATAGATAATATTTTGTTATTTTATAAAGAATATGGAAAGTTGGGCTACTTATCTACTTTGGGTTATGTTCCCCCCACATTCAATCTGATGTTAAGCAGACAACTTAGTAGTTTGTTTTGGAATCTTTATGGAGCAGATAAATTTAAAGATTTGGGGATGTTGATCCATAGTAAAGTAAATAAGTATAACTCCACGTCTTACCTACCTGTGAAAGATGAAATAATTGAATTTACACAACTATGAAATATTAAGACAAGAGACAGTTTTCCTACTATGTAAAACAATGAAAGGACATTCTTCACCACATTCTTCACCACTTCCTGAAAGCACAACAGGAAGTTAATTGAGTAATTAAAACTAAATTAATCATAATGGAAATGGAAGTGCTATAGTTTATACTTATTAAAAATCTGAAAGGTTACAATTTGCTATAGAATTGAGTCAAAATTGAGAACTATCTATTAACTTAAAATATTCCATGTAATGGTAAAATTACAAGTACTTATGACAATTGAAACTAACAGTAGCATCATTCCAGAAATTAGCTTTTGCATTTTAAAAATTGCCACAATATTACCCTTTGTCACAATAGTTGATAAATAATTTTATGGATATGGCAATCCTTATTTCATATGATCATTATAAAGTTTACA